TTATCTTATTTTAAAGGGTCATTCAACGCTCTCTCTGACGTATCAGTTATCTTATTTTAAAGGGTCATTCAACGCTCTCTCTGGCGTATCAGTTATCTTACTTTAAAGGGTCATCCAACGCTCTCTCTGGCGTATCAGTTATCTTATTTTAAAGGGTCATTCAACGCTCTCTCTGACGTATCAGTTATCTTATTTTAAAGGGTCATTCAACGCTCTCTCTGACGTATCAGTTATCTTATTTTAAAGGGTCATCCACCGCTCTCTCTGACGTATCAGTTATCTTATTTTAAAGGGTCATCCAACGCTCTCTCTGACGTATCAGTTATCTTATTTTAAAGGGTCATTCAACGCTCTCTCTGACGTATCAGTTATCTTATTTTAAAGGGTCATCCAACGCTCAGTTTTCTTATTATTATTTTTTGTTTTTGATTTGGTTTCTTGTCTGATTGGAGAGTTTTTTCTTCGTTTTTTTTATTTTTAAAACATTGCATTTGTTTTTCTCTTTGTTTTGTGAACTGTCTAATTTATTTTTACCATTTTGATGTTTCCTTTTGTCTGTTTGAACGGTTTTATTTTTTATGTAAATTTTTCCTGTTTTTATTTTTTTAAATGCAAATGATTGTCTGTTATGAGCAATAAATAAAAACAAACGCCGCCACATCCATTACCAACGGCACTCAATAATCACCATCATTATCATCGTAATTGTCAACATCATCACATGGCCATCATTCTTGTAACTTAAACTAGTTCTCTGTGCTATAGTTACACATCTAGGAGATTGACGTGGGTTTGAAGCCGACAGGAGATCTGATGGGGGCGTGAAAAAAGCCTAAATTGGTGGGGGTATGGCTCCGTCGGGGGTGGGGGAAACAAAAATCCCGCCAAATCCCTGGAAGCTAAGACTATGGATTTGAAAACCTTATTTAATCAGATTTAACAGTTGAACAATACAATTTCTCCGCAACGAATCATGCTTTATGCTTCCTGGCCCCAGTGGTACAATCTCTGCTAGCCTAACTAACCGGGCATGATACAAACGCCAACGCATACAGCACAATAAAAATCATTCATTTATCAATCAGTCAATTTCAATTTTATTTAGAAACTTGTATTTTGCAAATAAAATCTAATTACAAGTAATTTACAATTGGATGGAAAAAAAATAATCATTAATATTAATAAACTTGAATAATATCTTTTACAAAACAATAATGAAGCACAATTTAATGAAGCCTTTAATTCTTTAAATTAATTAATTGAATAAGGGATGAAGATTAGACCATTCCGGGCCATAGCCAGGATTGCCAAAAATGGGCCAAGTTGGGTATGGGCATCGCTTAGAGTCGCTGACAGCGTCAAGGGCCCGAAAGAGATGGTTGGACCGCAGCTTTCGCAGTGTTGGGCAGATACGGATAGATTACTGGTTACATTACTTACTCGATACATTTTCGACTGTCTTAAAAATGTGGATCATTTTCGATTTAGGAGGTGCCCTGGGGAGGTGCATATACATCAATCGCACCCCTGCCATTATGTAGCCTTCTATGTTTTTCTTTTTTTGTGAAAGCTTAGATTTCATATTTAAAAAACTGCATCCTATACTGGAATGATTTGGGCCATTTTATTTTAATTATGCAGGAATCCAGATATGTAGCACTGTCCACCATCTTTATCCCACTCCAGCAGACTGTAAAGTAAGGCTGTGCGTGGAATATATTCTCCGTATAAAATTTTTGCCTGGAAATCCATCCGCGCATTTCAGAAAATATGGGCTGATTTCCTTGCAGATTTTGCCAAAAATTAGGCTTTGAACTAATCTTAATATGAAGTACTATGCAGTAATTACAACTTTGTGCATCTATTTTCCAAGCGACTTTCCGCGAACTGCTTTTTGAGTTATCATCCACGCAATTCAAAATTTAACAGATATTAATTAATAAATGATTGAGGATTATAATAAACTAAGTCATTTTAGGGTTAACGAGGGTTAACTATTGATTGACAAACCAACTAATCAGCGAGCGTCATTTAGTCACATGATCAAAAACTTTTTCTCTGACATTTTAATTTCCTTAGACAGCTGGCTTGAACGCGAAACATACGTGAGCCTAGGCCTAGATGTCTATGCTGTGCGCATCAGTGTGACTTAGGCCTTTGCCCGTTATATTTACCATATGTACAATATTAAATCATGTATATATACACTATATTATCATTTACTTCCTCTTTATCATATCAAATCTTCTGGTGTCCTTATTTGAGCTATGATACACTGTGGCATTAAACTCTTTTGAGTGTTGTAATCGCAGTGGTGGGGCCCTGCACACGCTGAAGGGATTAGGAAAACTAGCCCTTGGCCTAATCAGTGTGTAATTGTCCTTTTAAATTGTCGCTACCAATGCATACTTATGTTCTTTCATTAGTTTTGGTAAGTTTCCTGGTAGTACTTCTGGAGTTTTTTAGCGACGGCTTTCTTTCCAAGATTCTTCAATGCATCACTCATTTTTACAAGGTGGTTTACTTCAGTGTTCTGCCTTTCTCTCCATTTAACCAGCATTTCCAGACTTGAGTCCACAATGGGTGGTGAAAAGTCTATCTTAATTCTTTCTATTTCATGTTTTTTCAGACCAATGATGCTGCCAAAGGATTTCCAGTCCTTGCCAAGTCTTTGGGCAATAAACAGCATATCAATGTCTGCTAAGTATCCTAAACAAAGAGGAAGGACATCAAAATATTAAAACACACTTTAAGTATAGTGGCAGATTCAAATGGAAGATTGTGGTGGGCCTCAACAGGTTTTTTTTTTAAATGGAGAAAAAAGGCCAAATTGTAATCAAGACGTGCCATAATTATAAATTCTTTTACCTCAGTTCCAACCATGGTGGGGCTGAGGTGGCCTACACTCTCCATCTTTGAAAGTCTCTCCCTGGGACCCTCTATTTCAAATATTCCTGGATCTACCACTGTCAAGAACATTGCAGACTTTACAGTCCCTAGTCCAGCCATGACAGAGGCAACTGGCAGAGTTTGTAGAATGTGCCATGTGGAATACAGCCAAAAGATGATGATGAAGGAAGCATTTGAAGGGAAGGAAGCATTTAAAGGAATGTTGAGGATTTTGTATCGTTGTATCATTCTTTTGTGAAACACTTACAAAAAAATATAATATACCTCCCATAGTACTGTATTTCATCCATACTTTTTTATTGATCCTTACTTTTTTATTTAAAAAAGTAAAAGAAAGGAACATCAACAATCTGCTCTGATGGACTGCAATTTCAGGAATACATTACCTACCATCATATTGCTGATGTCTCTGATGTAACGGTCGTCTAGCATGTACTTTTGTTGAGGTTTGCGAGCCAAAAACATTGTTAGCAAGTTCTGTGAGTCCTTGCTCCTTCAAATCCCTGCACATTATCTCCACTTGATTTGTCTCGTAATTCTGATGATTCCTCCATTCTGTAAGCATATCCATTATGCTCTCTGGCAATCGTCTCTTATCACTCCATATTTGTTGGATCCTGTTCCAACTGAGACCCAGTCTGACACCCAGTTGTTTCCACTCCATTCCCATGCCCACTGCGATACGAAGCAGGTGTTTGTCTTCCAGATAACCAAGATGTTCATCTGAAGTGAAAATTGAAGTAGGCTATACAATAAAATATGGTAACTTTGATAACAAAAAAAAATATAATGTAAAAATAATAAAAATATAATGTAAAAATAATAAAAATAATACTGTAATAATAATAATAATAATAATAATAATAATAATAATAATAATAAAAACATCCAAGCATTTACATAGTGCTCATTAAAAACAGATAATTTCATGAGACACAAAATAGTAAATAACATCTAACCTGGTGGTACTGTTTCAGTATCACTTGATCCTGCTCCTTGCATTGGAGAACCTACAAATAAATAAGTTGTTAAAAAAATGAATACAGGATCAAGCGACTAAAATTGATTGCTGTCTATCACATTAAATTTAGATCAGGACAAAATCAATTTATATGAAGTTTTAATAGTGAATTTATTCTAAATCACAGGTGGGCATGGGCCCCTTACAGTAGCCCAACAACAATTTTGTTGTTACCTCGGGAAAAAATTTAAAAAAAAATCTGTATGAAGCGAACCATTTTTAGCTAGAAAACCCATTGTTGGTATCAAGCTGATTGTCTGTAAGACTAATAATAAAATGGGATGCTTCTGGATATAAAGCATATAAACTGTGCCTCTTGGTTTATGTTATGTTTGTTTTTGATTTCAAATAAATCAAATCAAAACTGAGCATAAAGCAGTGCATGGAGGCATTATTGAGAAGGAGATCACTTGAAAAAGCTACGCGCACGCAGCGCTATGCAAATGAACCAAGATCAAAGCTGCCGCAGCGCGTGAAGAACTTTTGCGCGATGCCTTTGAAGTCCCATGTGTTCCCCGCCATCAAATTTTCAGCAGGCATAGTTTACCAAAAAATTTAACATGGAGAAATGGAGAGCACCTTCTTTTCTCGATGCGCACTACATACAGTCAATCACTATGGCTGTGCAATCGTTTCCATTTTGAAGCTGATACATTTATCTCTCATAAAATATCAAACATATTAATATTTTCCACCAGAAAAAGTTTCGAATTTAATGGAACATTTACATGACCTTTAAAAGTATAGTATATTTCAACTTCAATTTCCATAAATTGGCCAAAATTCGCTAATTTTAATTTTAACAGATATTAATTAATAAATGATTGAGGATTATAATAAACTAAGTCATTTTAGGGTTAATGAGGGTTAACTATTCGAAAAATCAATCCAAAATCTGAGTATTTTTCAGTTTTACGCTGACTTAGCTTTATAGTCGAACTAATCAATTTTTAGACAAAATTAAAATGAACACAGAAGTAATTTTAACATAAATATTTACGGAATCCGTTCCTGAAATATACAAATAATAACATACCAAAAGTCCGAAAAAATCTAATCAGGGGAACACTGTTCATTATAAAGATATTTAATGGGTTAAAATCAAACGCTTTATTGCACAACTGCTCTGCTGAAAGCGTATAAATGCATGTCGTTGCCAAGTTGTTGCTAACGAAAAAGTGTGAATTATAGGGTAATACGCACGCGCGCGATGCAAAAACGGGGAACACATGGGTTTGTCGCGTCAAAGGGAACTGCTGCCGAGTGATCGCCTTCTCAATAATACCTGCATGAGCAGTGCATGAATGTTGTAAATTAAAAATTTACTTTGGCCCTCTGACCAGTTTTATCCTTTCATTTCTGGATAAAGCTTTCAATACTTGAAACATTGATTTCCAAAGAGTAATTTGAAAAAAAAAATGTCTACTGTATAATAAAAAAAAACAAAAAAACAGAAATTCAAAAAAACATAATATGACAGTAAGGGACATCAAACACAATAGGCAAGTTAGAATCGAATAACATATATATTACACATTTCATATAGAATAATTAATTGCTGAGATTAATATAAAATTCAAGCTTATTTTCAAGTAATTTGGACCACCTCCCAAAATGAAGCTGAGGGATGTAGTCCCAATGATTCGAACCACCTCCCAACATGAAGCTGAGGAATATAGTGCCAATCATCCAACAGCGAGGGAAGTAGAATTCACTGCTTTACCAAAATAAAAATCGTGTTGTATTTGTTTTCACTACCTCACAAACACCAAACTGTCCATCCACATTAGCCATACTCCCAAAAATCAGGTTCAGATATTTGCAAGAGGGGGGGGGGGAGGGGTCATGAAGGAATAAAAAGTCACTCTTGTATTATATATGACATAAGTTTATATGATGTTGGGTACAGTCGTCTGTCTTGTCACCCACCATCTTTTGAAATACAGTATTTGAAAACCAAAAATAATATTACAGTAGCTAGAACATTATTCTCATTACTGAACCCCCCTCCACACACACAGAAGAAGCTACTGGTTTGGCTATTTACCATCACCTGTATAATTATAGTCCAAGCTACTGCACCATGAACTGAGTGAAATTGATCAATGGAATGTCGTTACCTGTATTACCTATAAACATTTTTATGAGGTATAGCAAAATGTTATCTGGTTCCACAAGTTTTCCTTCCCAGTTTTTGTTATTTACCTGTCACTTGTTGCTTATTCTTGAACATCCTTTGAAGTTTGCCTGTGATTATCGATTCCCTCCCGCATGGAATACAGTCATTTTCCAGGCACTCCTCCAAATCGTGGAAGTGCATTTCTCGCAAGCTTGTCCAGCACAGGACACGGAACTTATAACG